TCTTTCCAGAAGCTTTGAGGAAAAAGGGAGCAAGGATATGGGACAATAGTTAGAGGGGGTGGAAGGGTCGAGGGATGTTTTCTTTAGTATAGGTACTACAGTGGCATGTTTAAGGTCAGCAGGGACAATGGCAGAAGAAAGAGAGTAGTTGAAGATGTGTGTTAAGGAAGGCATGAGACAAGTGGAGAGAGATCTAATAAGGTGAGATGGGACAGGATCGAGTGGGCAAGTGGTGGAGCGAGAGGAACAGAGAAGAGCAGCCACCTCTTGTTCAGTGGCCGAGGAGAAAGTCTGAAGCGTAGGAAAGGCATGATCTACGTGTGGTTGAGAAAGAGAACGGCAAGGTGGGGAGAATTCTTTCCTGTTCAATCTTGTCGGTAAAGCAGCATGCAAAGTTATCAGCTGTAAGGTTAGTTTGGGGGGTGGTCACAGCAGGGCAAAGAAGAGAGTTAAAGGTGTCAAAGAGATGCCTGGGATTGCGGGAGCATGAACTAATGAGAGAGGAAAAGTATTACTGTTTGGCGAGGGCAAGGGCTGCGCTGTATGATCACAATATAATGGAGATAGTCTGCCTGGGTGCAAGACTTCCTCCAGGAGCGCTTAGCACAAAGGGAGCATCTTTGCAGGTAACATGTTGATTTAGTATACCACAGTGTCCTTGTCTGTGGTGTGCAAAATGTCACAAGTGTGTGCAAAAAAAGGGGCAGAGAGGGGCTTACACGATAGTTTGCAGATCCTGTTCTCCCAAAGTCAGAAAGGCAGATCCGTATTTAAAGGGGGGTTTGAGGAGATAGAGAAGTTAAGGCGTCAAAAATGCCTAAAAGCCTGTTGGGCTTCTGCCATTAATATTCTGCTGACATGAGGTCACAGCCTGCACATTATTTAAACAACTGGATGAGAGAAAATAAACAAGAAGGTTAAATGAGGACTTAGTCATGTGTTCTGCATGTGAAAGCTTCAGTTTCTCCATAGAGAGAAGCTTGTGTATATGAATAATATATCATCTGGCTGCCATTGTATTGGTAGTAACACCTCTGATCAAATGTACCCTTTTTGCCATATTTAAATAATTAAAGGACCACTATAGTGCCAGGAAAACATACTCGTTTTCCTGGCACTATAGTGCCCTGAGGGTTCCCCCACCCTCAGGATCCCACTCCCGTGGCGTTGAAGGGGGAGGAAGGGGTTAATCCCTTACCTTTTTTCCAGCGTCGGGCTCCCTCGGCGCTGGGGACTCTTCTCCCTCTTCTTCTGTCATCGGCTGAATGCACATGCGCGGCAATGCCTTCCTATGGACGCTGGCGTCTTCTCACTGTGAAAATCATGTTTACAGCAAAAAAGGTTAAACCTAGCTGGACCTGGCACCCAGACCACTTCGTTAAGCTGAAGTGGTCTGGGTGCCTATAGTGGTCCTTTAAATTAATGATTAATCCCTCCCCACCCCCAATAAAAAGGTTTGAAAGCATTCTAGGTAGGAATTGATGGATGGATGTATTTTTTATGGAATTGTATAACTCTATGCTAAGTACTAAAAAGACAAATGTGTTGGATATATAGAATCTGAGTAGTTACTTAAGCATCAGTGTAATAGGGAGGAATTGATATCTGCATGGTAAAATTTAGGTAAAAATATCAGAATTAAAGTGTTTCTTATCTGTTTGGCCGTTAGTTTGGCAGATTGTATACGAATTACATTTTACGCTCTAGAATTGGTTTGCATTTTCTGTAATTTACACTGCGAGATCCAAACTGGAAATATTCCAGAAACCCAAAGTATATTAAAAGTATTAAATAATTTTGGTTGTGTAGGCGGAAAAACTCTTTAAAGAAGCAATTTGTGATTTCTGACACTTTCTTTAGACTATGTGCGGCTGCAAAAAACTCAACATTTGTACATTTATTTATATGAATGTCAACGTAGCTGGATTAAATAAAAATAATGTGACCTGAGATGGCTGCCTATAGCCTAGGCCCAGGTTTAGCTTTAGCTTTAGCTTTAGTAGTGCTCCCACTTTCACAAAGCAACTTTGAATTTATTTAGCAGCCTTCACCTTAGTAAACCTTTATACCTGTTTTTATTACAATATTAATAAGTGCCGCTGAGGCATTCAATTTGTTTTCTTAGCTGACTCCTATGAATTTCATTACATGATATTGTTGGTTGATTGTAAACTGGGAAATAATTATTTTTTATTCAATGTTTTGCATAGCTATCACAAGCTAAGCTGAACAGGATTTTGTATGATTTAAACCAATCTCTAAGCCCTGAGTAAAAAGACGGAACAGAGGGGTATTGTGAAAAAGTGACACATGGTGTGAGGTGCAACCAAAACGAGGGAACCTGTCAGCCCGCAGGGCATGTGTGGTGACCTGCCAAAAGGGGTTTTTCCGACGCGCATGTGATGAGCATTAGCGTTTACAGCAGTACTGCCTGATAGGATGTGTCTGGTGGTGGCTTTTCCATGGTGTCTACATAAACCTGTCCCAATCTAGCTTGATCTAGGACAGCAAGAAAGTAATGTAATTAATCTAATCTTAACTGCATCTTCCATTTTATATTTGATGACATTCTACAAGTCAACTCTAAATACTGAGCGTGATAAAGGGACACTATAGTCAACAGAACAACTACAGCTTAATGTAGTTGTGCTGGTGTCTTTAGCATGTGTCCGTCATGGAGACGCGGAGTGCTCCCCACAGAGATGCATTGATTGCATCTGGAAGGGGGACAGGAAACCTAAACCGTGATTTTAACACTGTAGTGTCAGGAATATTTGTTTGTGTTCCCGACACTAGTGTGTTTCTTTATAACAATGACAAAACAAAAGTCAGAACAGTTTTTTTGTTTCTTCTAAACATTGCACACAGTTTGTTAATTTATGTTTTTTTTTTTTTTTTATCAAGGATTTTTTCTATAACTTTTCTCTCTAGACTTACCCCTCTAGTGTTTGTAACTACATTACCCAGAATTCCTTAAAGCCTGTTTGAATTTCCCAGCTTTATCAGTTGCCATGATCTCTGCAGAGATTTCACCAGTGTTTGCTAATGACAAGGAGTTAGACACATATATGCCCTTTATATTGCTCAATCCTGACAGCGGATCCTCATAGTTTTAAAGTAGAACTTACTTGCTATTTTTGAGGCTTACTGGATCACTTCTTGCTGTTGCAGTTTTTCATTGTATCTCTTTCTTGGACTCTGCTCTAGGCTTACAGAGTTCTCAGACTTCCTGTTCTTAGACATTTCGTTTACTCTTCCTGTATTGCTTGTTTTTTACACCTCCCAATCTGTTCAACTTCACTTATGCCCTTGGGGATAATTTCTGTAGAACACAATTCGCCAGCACCTCATGCTCTATGTCACAGTTCGTATGACTGGGAAAAAACACAGATTTTTTTTTCTTTTAACTAAGCTCTGAAATATGCAGAATTTGTGTTAAAAACACAAATAAACTAATTTCGAAGAAAAAAGTCACATTCAACTATTTACTAAAGACAGTCTGCATGCTCAATTTGTTTTTGTTCACAAAGGGCAATTTAGATTTATTTTTTTTAAAAGATCTCTACTTCAAAGAAAAAATAAATAGATAAGTATATATATATATTAGCAATTTAGTAGATATACCTCCAATAAAACAATGCACACATTTAATTATGCATTGCTATCCAAATAAAACTTTGCAAAAGCTACAGAGCTCTCCCCTTCCAACCAGTGGTGGGATTCAGCCGGTTCTCACCGATTCGCGCGAACCTGTGTTTTGCTGGAGATCGCGAGATCTCTACTCCATAGTCTGCAGACTGGATACCTAGCCCAATGGACCACCAGGGGGAGTAGACCACTGGACCACTGGATCACCAGGGAATGGCTTACAGAAAAAAAAGGTATTTAAGCCACAGCCTCCCCATATGCTACCCCCTCTCCCACACTGCCACCATCCCCTCACACTACCACCCCCCAGCTGTCACCACATCCCTCACACTACTATAACCATCCCCATTATCTCCACTTCCCACACTGTCACTATCCCCATTGTCGCCACCATCATTGTCTTCATCCCGCCCACTGTCATCATCCACCCTACTGTCACCACTTCCCACACTGTCACCACCACCCCCACCTTCACCATTCCCCTATTGTCACCACTTCCCACACCTTCACCACCACCGTCACCATCCCCCCATTGTCACCACTTCCCACACTGTCACCGTCTCCCTATTGTCGCCACCATCATTGTCTTCATCCCGCCCACTGTCATCATCCCCCCTACTGTCACCACTTCCCACACCATCACCACCACCACCACTGTCACCGTCCCCCTCTCACTGTCACCACTCCCCACACTGTCACTTTCCCAAACTGTCACCCTCTCACACACACTGTCACCACCTCCCACACTGTCACCACCCCACACCATCCCCATCCCCACACTGTCACCATCCCCCTACTGTCACCCTTCCACACAAACTGTCACCACTCCCACACTTCCACCCACACACTATCACCATCCCACACACTATCACCCCATGCACTGTCACATCCTCCCCACTGTTACCCTCCCACACACACTGTCACCATCCCCTCACATTATAACTCCCCACACTACCCCTGCCCTTACTGTCACCATCCCCTAATGCTACCATCCCCTCATGCTACCATCACCCCCCTGCAATCCCCCCACTGTCACCACCTCCCACACTGTCACCACCACCCCACACTCACCATCTTCCATATTGCCACCATTCCCACACTGTCACCTTCCCACACATACTGTCACCCTCCCACACATACTGTCACCATCCAACACACACTGTCACCTTCCCACACACACTATCACCCACACACACTGTCCCCCTCCACACAAATGATCTATCCCACACACTGTCCCCCTCACACTGTCACCATCCCACACACACTGTCTGTCACCTTCCCCATGCACTGTCCCCCTCACACTGTCACCATCCCACACACACTGTCTGTCGCCTTTCCCACACACTGTCACCCTCCCACAAACTGTCACCCTCCCACACATACTCTGTCGCCCTCACTGGAGGCAGATAAATGGCACAAAGAGGCTAAATGCAGAGACATGGCACAGAGAGGCTGGTGGCAGAGAGATGGCACAGTGATACTGGTCGCAGAGAGATGGCACAGGGCAGAGAGATGGCACAAAGAGGCAAAGGGCAGATATATTGCACTGAGTGGCTGGGGGCGGAGCAATGGCACAGAGATGCTGGTGGCAGAGAGGTGGCACAGAGATGATGGTGGCAGAAAAATGGCACATTGAGGCTAAGGGCAGAGAGATGGTGCAAAGGGCAGAGAGATGGCACAGTATCTGGGGGCAGGGAGATGGCATAGAGAGGCTGGGGGCAGGGAGATGGGACAGAGAGGCTGGTGGCAGAGAGTTGAGAGAGTGAGACTAAAGGCAGAGAGCTGGCACACAGATGCTGGGAGCAGAGAGATGGCACTGGCAGGTTGTTTGGGGGCACATGGCACTAGCAGATGTTTTGGAGCCACACGTGGCTCATTGGCATGATACAAAGTTTAAGAATGTACTGCTCTTTGGCATGATATTCAGGATATATGCATTTGCTGCTCATTGGCATGATATATCAAATGTATGCATTTTCTGCTCATTGGCATGATATACAAGGTTTATGCAATTATTGCAATAATAGAAATAGCCTGCCGTCCATGTGTTTTTGCCAACCAGGGCATATATGTGTGACTGCGTTGATGTGCATGTATGCGCATGACTTGGGGGTGGGGGGGAGTCTTGGTCCCAGGCAGAACAATGTTTTGGGCCGACCCTGTTGAGTTGGAAACATGAAAAGTCAGAACTGGTTACTAAAATTTTTTAATCCTGCTACTACTTCCAGCCCTGACAAGTCTTTCTGTGGCTGTCCAATCACAGTCTTTCCAAATGCAGCGACAAGTCTTTCTAAGGCAGGTGCTCTGGGCAATTGCTGCTTCTTGAGTTTATCTCCATTGAGCTAACCAAACCAGGAAGTAACAGGACCTGTTGTCTGATTGACAGCCAAGAAGATGTATCAACGTTAATTTAGAAATGCACCAATTTCTATCGAAATCTGCATTTTTTGTAAAACGAAAAAAGAGGACACACTCTTTACACATGAAGCACTGCAGATTTTGAATCTGAGTATTTATCACCTTTGTACTTTAAAGTTAGTGAAACAAACTCTAAGATAAATATATTATTACATTTAGTGTCTACCTCCTTATGCACCGTATTGTGGTAGATCTTTTTACATTGTCCCATGGGTTGGAGAGAGAGAAAGGGTCTGGTTTTGGTTTTTACTTGTTAGAATCCAGTTTCAGTTGTTCTGAATTAATCCCAGTCATATGATCTTTTTATTTATTTTTTAGGATAGTTGTAGGATTAATTCCGATTCTTTGAGTTGGCTGGTTTGAATATCAGCCAAACATAATGCCCAGACTTCACATTTTACACCAGCCAATTCATCCTTCTGTAAACAACCTTCACAAATTTAACCTTTAATAAAGTGCCTTTTATTTCTACAATAATATGTGCACAGCTAGGCTTTAATCCTACTGTATATGTTCTATTTTGTTGTGAAGGTAGAACTAGAGTACATTTATTTTAGAGAGACAGGTGGATTCATTGCTGAATCTCCCTATTCAGTAAAGATCATTAATCCTTCAAGGTGCAGGTGTGCACAAGCTGTTGGTACATCAGGCATAAAACGTGCAGGTCTAGACTATCGTTAGTGGGGCCATGACATGATGTAAAAGGAGTCAAAGTGTTACTTAACTTAACAATATAAACAATGTAACCCTGCACTCAAATTCCCACTACACTTGGGCTGCAGCAAATATTCATCAGCCCAAATACATAAAATAAAACCAAAAAATGTTCCCTGCACGCCATCCCGCATCCTTATGTAAATTTAAATAACCACTGTACCATTCATTGAAGTACAAGCTCAGCTGCTACGTTAAAGGGACACTATAGTCACCAGAACAACTGCAGCTTATTGTATTTGTTCTAGTGAGTAGAATAATTCCCTGCAGGAATTTTCATTGCCCCCTAGGTACACCTCCAGTGGCCCCTCCTCAGATGGCTACTGGAGGTGCTAGTGTGCAGCACTGCCATTCAGCATGGAGACGCTGAGCTTTCCTAATAGATATACATTGATTCAATGCATCTCTACGAGAAGGTGTTGATTGGCTCAGCCGGCATTTGACTCCACCCCATCCCACCTCCTTGTAGAATTCAGCCAATCCAATGCTTTCCTATAGGAGATCGTTTAATTCTGATGATGTCAGCAAGAAGGTGGATCAGGGGTGGGGCCAGCGCTGGCAAACTCGCACGGTGCTGGAAATAAGGTAAATTCTCTTATTTTTTAAGGAAGTTAAGGGGGGCTAGCCACCAAAAGGGTGCTTTTAACACTATAGGGCCAGGAATACATGTTTGTGTTCCTGATCCTATAGTGTTCCTTTAAGGCAAACCTCTTCGGTGAGTCTTACACTAACAATCTACCTTGAAGCTTTCAGCTAAAAGGCAAAATGTCAAATGAGAAAGACATGGGTAATTTTATGAACCCCTACACATTTATAAACCCTTAATAGAAAACACATGGGGTGGGCGGCGGCACTGTACCATGGCTGTAATACATAGAATAAGTGCAATATACTCTCCTACTATACTATATTTGGTATTTACTTGGACAGAAGCGATGGCAGCAATATTCATCAGTCCAAATACATTAAGCAAAAAAAAAAAAAGTTACCAGGCTGTATAAATGCAAACACACACAATGCATATGAATTAAAGGACCACTATAGTGCCAGGAAAACATACTCATTTTCCTGGCACTATAGTGCCCTGAGGGTGACCCCACCCTCAGGGTCCCCCTCCTGCCCAGCTCTGGGGAGAGGAAAGGGGTTAAAATTTACCTTTTTTCCAGCGCTGGGCGGGGAGCTCTCCTCCGATCCTCCTCTTCTCCTCCCATTCGGCTGAATGCGCACGCGCGGCAAGAGCTTTTTCACAGTGAGAATCACGCAAACGCCTCTAGCGGCTGTCAATGAGACAGCCACTAGAGGAATTGGAGGAAGGATTAACCCATTTACAAACATAGCAGGGAAGTTATATACTTCCCTCTGCTCTTAAATGCTACAATAGAGTTTGCTGGGGTGATGCAACAAGGAAGTGTCACATCTCTGGAAGAAACATAACCTAAATGTTAGTTTACTCTGTTGACTTGAATTTCACTTTTGGTGGTTAGCTGTCATGGAGAGGTGAAATACATTAATGTGCTTTTTATGTCTGTTGTTTGCATTAACCTGATGCCCCCTTGTGGTTTTATGTGGTATTACTTTTACTATATTTGGCATTGGATAGAATGAAATTGAAACATTATTATTATTATTATTATTATATTTATAGAGCGCCGTCAAATTCTGCAGCGCTTTACAATGGGTGGACGAACAGACATGTATTTGCAACCAGACAAGTTGGACACACAGGAACAGAGGGGTTGAGGGCCCTGCTCAATGAGCTTACATGCTAGAGGCAGTGGGGTAAAATGACACAAAAAGGTACGGATAGTATTAGACTAATGACAGTTGCAGAAGAGGAATCGGTCAGGAGCTATTAACAGTTTAATTGATATGCTTTTATGAAGAAGTGGGTTTTTAACGATTTTTTGAAGGAGTGGAGACTGGGTGAGCATCTAACGGAGGAGGAAAGCGAGTTCCACAGGAACGGTGCAGCCATCGAGAAATCTCAAAGGCGAGCATCAGCGGTGGGAGTACGGACAGAAGATAGACGTAAGTCTTCAGCAGATCGTAAGGGCCTAGACTGGACATACTTGTGTATAAGGGAGGATAGATAGGTGGGAGCAGCATTATGTAGATATTTGAAAGCAAGAACCAGAATTTTAAATTGAGCTCTATATTTTATAGGAAGCCAATGTAGGGACTGACAGAAGGGTGAGGCATGGGAGGTGCGGGCGGACAGAAAGATGAGCCTTGCCGCCGCATTCATTATGGACTGTAACGGCGCAAGTTGGGAGCACGTAAGACCACTGAGAAGCAGATTACAGTAGTCAAGGCGAGCAAGGACAGTGGAATGGATCCACACCTTAGTCGCATCTGGCATTAGGTAAGGACGGATGCGTGCAATGTTTTTGAGATGGAAATGACAGGATTTGGCGATAGATTGAACATGAGGCTTGAAGGAGAGGTTGGAGTCAAAGAGAACACCTAGGCAGCGAGCCTGCGTGGTGGAGCTGATGGTAGCACCGTTGACTTGGATAGAGACAGACACAGGAGTAACAACACTTGAGGGAGGAAAAACCCGAATTTCAGTTTTGGTTAAGTTTAGTTTAAGGAAGTGGGCAGCCATCCAGTTAGAAACAGCAGAGAGGCAGTCAGAGACACTAGTCAAGAGTGACAGGGAGAGATCAGGAGAGGACAGGTAGATTTGCGTGACATCTGCATAGAAATATGATATTGGAAGCCAAAGGAGCTAAAGAGTTTACCAAGGGAGGCAGTTTAGATGGAGAACAGAAGGGGACCAAGGACTGAACCTTGGGGGACACCAACAGAGAGGAGTTGGGGAGAAAAAGCAGAGCCAGAGAAAGAAACACTGAAAGAGCGCTGGGAGAGGTAGGAGGAGCACCAGGAGAGAGCAATATCTTGTAGACTGGAGCAGAGCAGAAACCTCTTCCAATGTAGTGGGTGCGAATGAACATAGAACAGCAGAGGGAGTGAAGTTAGGGGAAGTATTGTAAGGGGAAGAAGAAAGATGAGAGATCTCTTCTCTGATTGTAGAGATCTTGTCAGTGAAGTGAGTTGCAAAGTCTGAGGCGGTCAAGTTAGTAGGTGGAGGAGGAACAGCAGGGCGAAGAAGAGAGTTAAATGTGTGAAATAGTCGTTTGGGTTCGCGGGAGAGTGTGGTTATGAGGGTATTGAAGTAATTAACTTTTGCAGAGGAAAGAGCCAAGCTGTACGAGCTCAGCATAAATTTATAGTGGAGAAAGTCAGGCGCACAGTGAGACTTTCTCCAACAGCGTTCAGCAGTTCTGGAGCATTTTTGGAGGTATCGAGTGAGCTTGGTGTGCCAGGGTTGTTGTTAGGGGGGCCTGCGGCGTTTAAATGTACAAGGTGCCATGATGTCTAGTTGACAGGAGAGGGTGGAATTGTAGAAGGAGGTTGCAGAACTAGG